TATTTAGATTCTATCTGAATTATACATAATACTATATACTTATACTATTATGGATGTTCTATGACTATTATATATATGAGTCATGCAGTACAAATTACAAATACAGCTACCTACTATTACACCTGCACATTGACTAATTTACAATACATTGTATCCATGTGATCAGTGTTGTAAAAAATACTTTTTTAAACGTATTTAAGTAATTACTCAAATACTCTTAAAATAAAGTATTTAAAATATACCACCCAAATACTATAAATAGTAAAGTATTTGAGTAATACTCAAATACTTTTCAGAAGTATTTAAAATAATCTTCAAATACAAAAAAAAAATTCTTTTTACTTTTTAGTTTTGAAATAATTTGTTATAATCAAAAATGTGTTTATTGCATTTTAAAAACATGATTCGTTCAATAATCAAAATTCTGATTAGTCATGTTAGTTGCACTACAACAATGAACTTTTCTCAACAGAGTTATTATATTAATTTAAAAGCTATATTATGTATTTGGATATCTCATACCGTCATCGATAAACAATAATGATAATAATTGATAACAATTTTCTTGATAAATAGGTAGCCACTAGCCAGTAGGTACTAATAATTATTAACATTATTTTCGTATAGTTAAATAATTATAAACTAGGTATAAAATATAATAGCCGTTAAGTAGAAGCTTTTTACATATATATTTTGTTAACTTAAGCTAATAGTGATACCGACTACAGATGTATCTTTTCGATCATCGTCGACAATAAGCTGTCTCCTAGAGAATAAAAAAATTAAATAAAAGTATTCAATAAAATAGTATTAAATAGTAAAAAAAAGTATTTAAAATACCATTCAAATACTTCAAAATAAAAAGTATTTAAAAAAGTATTCAATACCGAAAAAAGTATTTGAATACTTTTACTCAATTACTTTTACTCAAATACTATACAACACTGCATGTGATGTAGTATATTAATATAATAGTACAACTTATGTACCATAAAGTTTTAGTGATTTGACAAGTATTTAGTATGCAATACACAATTTAAGATTATAAAACTGTCAATATCCTAAATCTTATGTTAATATATATATTTTATTATAATTTTATTTTATTGACTATTAAATATAATTTAAAAGTTTTTTGAATTGAGAATAATTTTTTTTTTTTATATCTGCAATATTAATGTTTAAATAATAATTATCAATTACCAGTTCTTCTTTATATTTATTTGCTTCTTCGTTATCATCAGATAATAGTGTCTCTACAGTTTTCAGTTCATCCATTGTTTTTACTGGTAAGATACCAATGAAAGACGGAGGAATATTTGTCAGTGGGACAGCCATGGCTCTAATTCGTGAATCTGCTTTATCTACTTACTATTTTTTTGTCCATATTTTCCTCTGCTTTGCAAAATTTGGTGTTTGAATCGTTTAGCATCATTATTTGAACCATAAATTGTTTATCTTTAGATTTAAAGTATGATTTCATATCTGAAATACTTTTACAGCAACAACCTACAAGATATGAAATAAAAGTTTTGTTTAATGTTAAATGATTGACAATAACCTATACATTACAAATACAGCATGATAAATATTTTTATTATAAATTGTTCTGATAAATTAAAGCTCAGTTTTAATTTAATTAATTTTTTACTTATATTTGATATTGTTTAATTAAGGTTTCAACCCATCATTACAAATAGCTGAACAAAAAAGATGATAATCAATACACGATTGAAAGTATATTTGAAAAAAATTATGTATAGAGGGTTAATTACACAAGGTTGACACATAAACTGACTTAATACCTGATAAAATTGATTGAGATGCCACATCTATGAATTCATTAATTTGATTTGAATTTGATTCTAAATCTCTATAATTTTTTGGCTCTAGATAATTTGCTGCAAGATAGTTATAACAATTAATTTTAGTATAATATAAAATAAATAGTATATTGATTTACTTGTATTTTGGTTTAAATCAGATTGAGTAACAGCAACTACTGGTGGATTCGGTAATGAGTATTCAATACCTTCATCAGTTTCTTCTGTATCTGTTATAGAACATATTTGTTTGGGTTTTTTAACTAGACTCTCAGGTGAATACAATATTTTTGGCATTCTTTTTCTTGTTGAAACTGTTATATTTGAACTAATTAGTTCTTCATCGCATGTTTCGTAGTCTGAACAAGCCTTTGCTACATTTCTTGCTTGGATTTCATTAGCTTTATTTGAAGAAATATTTGTGAATTAGGTAATAAACAAAGTTATAAACATATATATATATATATATAAATATACACATTTTTTATCAGATTATAAATTTAATATTATTATTTGAAAGATTCTCTATGTAAGCATTTCCATAATACGTTTTAGCAAAATATTTTTTAGAGGTCTTACATAAAAAAATATTATGTTTACAAATTAGGTAATATAATTAATTTAATAAATTATAAACAAAAGAAACACATTTAAATGATGACTTGCGTATTTAGTACCTATGTAACTATAGAGAGAATTTTATGAGAACTGATATTTGTATAGTTTGAATAATAAAATTATAATTATTATAGGTAATTACATAATATAATATTTTTGATGGTTATGGAATCATGTGTTAAAATAGCACTAACCAAATGGTCCTGCAGTTCTTGAAGCTTCATAATATAACCCATCACGTTGATTAGGTTCAATGCATATGGTTATCATTTTGGCAATTTGGGATCCACTAAATAATGTCAAATAACTTCACAACGGAAAGGCAGAAATACAATTTAAGTGTCCAAACTCTTTCACATCATCAGCTATATGTAGAGTTATGTGAATATTGTGTGACATGAATGTTTTTCATACTTTTCCAAATGTTAAAACAAAATGTTTAAGTAGTTCCTTAGCAAACATAATATATGCATCTGTAATATGATCTGTAGAGAGAATTCTTATAGCGACGCATAATTCCATAAAATGGTGATATTTTTTTTTACTGAGAAAATCCTTAAAAACTACCATACCCGTATAGAGGAGACATTGTCTCAACTCTGTAGCCTTTCACCGGGATACATTGTGTAGACTGTAGAGGATGCTTTCGAATATTTTCATTTAGATTTCTTTGGAATTCTTGAGGAATATATTGAGATAAATTTGTCAATTTTTTATCAATTGCGGAAATTCAATTTTTCGGAAGATTTTGATTGTGTTGTTTTATTCCACCAGTCCAGAACATTAATAATTTTTTGGTGACACCAATGAGAATACAATGCATGTAATCAAATGGCACAGAAGAAATTACATCAAATTTAGGTATATCTAACAAAATTGTTTTCCCACAATGAAAATCTGAATCAGAATATAATCTGAATTCATCATGAGTTCTAAGTGGTGCATTAATTTGAGGAAAATAAATACGATTATTCCAAAAAGAACCAATAGTATGACAACGAATACATGATTTTTTTCCAGTGTGTCCCTTAAAATTTAATGCAAACGATTTTGGTGGGGCATAATTTATAAGAGCTTTTAGATGAAGTTTTACATGGATATTATTATACATCACACCATCATTAATTAGCACACAAATTTCATTTACAAAATCACTTAAATATTTATAACTGTCTTCTGGTTTTGGTTTACCATAATATGAACTAATAATGAAAACACTAGAGTCAGAGATATTTGAAAAATACCCTAAATTAGGCCATAATTGACTAGGAGGATTTTTTGTGATGGGTAATCCGTCTATTCCAACCATTAGCATGAGTATTGAAGGAAGCGAAGTACCAGATTTTATCAAATGTTCAAATGCAATATGAGGAAGTGGGTTTTGATGAAAATCATTATTATACTGATACTCATTACCAGAACGAGATGATGAATACATTGAAGCAGTAAGAACTGTAGCAGCTCACTTTCTTCTACGATACTGACTAGATTGCTTAGTTAACCTTAAACCAATAAAGAACACAACCAAAACTTTATATTGTTAACACTTGTTACCTGTTATTTTTTGTATTCATGGATATACTTTCGGCATTGAATTATAAAATTAATAAAATGTTCCATTTTATAACAAGATAAAATTATGGTACCTATACATATTATTTTAATCCAAATTTAGTATATAATATGTAATTCTAAAAAAAATACATAATTAAAATATGATAACATGTTATTAAATGAATAAATGTAATAGTACCATCCTGACTATATATGATTAATGTATATATACACATATATTATGATTACTTTTAACTAAACATAATCACTATTCGCAAGACAGTCTATAGATTTATACATAGGTACCTATATAATAATAATTAAAACTTAATGTTACATGTTGTAGGTACTATAAAAGATTTTATAAGTATGTTTATTTTTATTTTTTTAAATTCTTACATTCTTAGAATTAATACAAATTAACAAAGAGTAATAATATAGTATTATATAATAGTACAAGCGTATGTAAAAACTAATACAAGTGTAAATTATATTTTTTTTAAATAATAACAACCTTAAAACTTTAAAAATTGAAATAAATATGAATTTTTATAACAATATAAATATATCAAAAAGTAATATTAAAAAAAATTAATGTAATAAACTTGTTTGTATTTTTACAGCTGTATATTATAAATAAAAATAAAGTATAACATAATTAATGTATGAAAAAAAACCAATAGTATATATGACCTTTGAAAACTGTTGATTTATTTAAATAGGGTTAATATATAATAACTAAAATGCTTACTTAATTGTAATGACTGATGTTTTATTCTTAATTAGGTGACAAAGTGTTAGCCTATGATAAGGGTTTGTTGTATGAGGCAAAAGTTTTAAGGCGGCGCATTTCAGACATTAGGGGAAACATTGAATATTTTATTCATATCAAAGGCTTCAATTCAAAATGGGATCAATGGATTGATTATGGTGAAGTATTGGAGATTAACGACATTAATTTGGGACACAAGGAGAGGCTAATAGAGAGACTGTAAGTAATTGATTAATTATTACTACTCATCACTTATCACCATTTATTTATAAAAAATATTTATGATAATTTATTTAATGTAGGAAATATTCCAAAAAATCAAAAAAAAATAAAATATCCAAAAAACCTAAATCTTCGCCAAAACCAGTATTGAGAAAAAATGGTCTTGTCACTAATATTGTCTCCAACACCATTCCACATTCAAAGGTATTACAAATAGTGTATTAATTAAGTTAAGAATTTGAAGTATCTATTTCAATTTAATTTTTATTTTAGCTCCTTGCTGACAAATTACACAATATTGCTGTACCACACATTTTACGGAAAGCAATGTTTTTAGATTTTATAATGCACAACTCATTCAAAAAAGTACGATACATTTTATTTTTATACGTCATTATTGTTATTATTGTAATATTGATTGCTTGGTTTTAGTTATTAAAATTTCCAGGAACCATTTTTTGTCAGAATTTTTGTACGCCTTCACTCAATCATCTTATTTTGACGATGATAGCCAAAAGTAATTATCTAATAACTATCTAAATTTATTATTAAAAAATATTTTATACAATATTTGTTTCAGGAAAACTTCAACGATGTTATGTGTAACTTTAATGCAATATTTTAATGCTACTGTTCACAAATATTTATTATACAACAACGAGAAAAGATACAGAATATACGATAAGGTAATAACAAAATAATCGATTATGTAAAATAAAGCATGTTTTAATACAAGGTTATAATTTAATGATTTCCGTTTTTAAATATTTAACATTCCAAGAACATCAGAATCTAATCAGAGATGAATGTATTGATTTTACAATAATATTTGTTTTTTGTTTTTCTACATATTATAGTAGGAAAAATGTTTTGATCTTAAATTTGAGGAGGGTTTCTAGTTGAATCCAGTTTAAACTTTAAAGAGGTAAACATTGAGATTGCCTGTAATTCTGAGCTATTTATAGACAATTTAAATGTTTTACTTGTTTTAGTTTGATTACGATTTAAACATGATAAAGTTACTTATTATCGGTTAAAAAAAATTGTACCAAGTTTGTCGTTTTTAATTAATTTCACCTACGGTTGATTAAAATAATCGATTTATTTAATCCCATTAAACATAATTTATATTTAAAATGTAAAGCAAATATATTTTTTTCTATTATTATTATTACTATAATAGCTTAAAACCCCATGACAACCATTTATAAACAAAAATTTCCATCTAAAATCTCAAAATTCCCGATTGAGCGTCTCCCGGGGTTTGTCCTCTCCCTTTTAAAATTAGCTTATGTTTTAAGTTGGACCAAAATACACACAGTGTAAAAATTTCATCAAGATCGGACCAGTAGTTTTTACGTGAAAGAGTAACAAAGTCACAAACTTTCGCTTTTATAATATTAATAGGATATATTGACAAAAAACAATAATACAAATCAACAAACACGCCCGATTAACCAATAGCAATCAATATAATATAATACACTGTGGCGCCACTGTTGTTTTTTTACATTCAGATTTCCTACTTTTCCTGTAGTTTTCCTAAAATTTTTTTTCTAAAAACCTTCTGCTAATTACGAACATCTTAAAAAAAATTTAAGCCAAATTGGTCCAGGCGTTGTTGAGTTATGCGCTTTCCAACACATTTTGCGATTCATTTTTATATTATAGATTATGCATTAAACACATTAATATTATTTATGTCAAATTAATGATTTTGAGTTGTTACCTGGCATAGCTGTAATAGTTTCAATTGTGTAGTTTACTCTTCCAATTGGATCGTAAACATTTGAATTATCATCATCAATTCTAGGTGTCCTATATGAATCTTTAGAATACACCTCAGATGGCAAAGCCTCACCTGATTCTAAATTTTTAAATATTTCATAAAATTATGAATTTTAACATTTATTATAATATTAAAACAAAAAGGACTTACCGTAAAATTCAAAATTATTATTATTTTCATGATTCTGATTACTTTGAAAGTGTAGAGATGCTGAAAACGCTATCCTTTACATAGTGCAAGATTGACCAAATTATTATCCCTTGATCTTATCATAATAATAGGTAGTAATATATCACCAAATTAATTATAATATTAAAAATTCAAACAGAACAATAATTTTAAAAAAAAGGTGGACAAGTGAGTGTCGCTCTGCTGTACAGTAGGTTACAAGTGGGTCATTGTATAATGGATGATATTAAATTTGATATAAATCATTTTATAAAAAAACGATTCTGAGCGGAGACGGTATGTCAGTCTAGGTATAAGACATTATATACATATCTATGGTACTAAACCAAAATTTTACATATAATAGATTCCAAATTAATCATATCACAATATCCATTAGGTACTTATGACGCATTATACATCAACAAAAACCTTGATACTATCATAGATAGAACCTTTGTTTTAAATTTGCAATCCTTAGCTATAAAAACTGAACATTTTGTAATTTATTAATTACAATGATTGATGATTTTCGAGATTTTGATACATTTTGTTAAAATTCGATCTTTAAATGCTTATAAAAAAAAAATTTTGCCTATGTATTTTTAATTTTTTTTCAACTGATATTGTAACAATATATCAGGAGCCTTGAATTAAGTTTTTACACTTTTTGGCCCACCAGAAAAAACTTTATTGATATTTATAGAAAAAAAAACTAAAATAATTGAAAACTGAAAATGTCCGTAAACAGCCCAAAAAGAGTCAAAATATTTTCAATACTGTATGGGGTATAGTAAATGCTAATATAAACATTTAGTGAAATTTCCATGTATCTATAGTTATTCGTTTTTGAAATACACAAAATAAAGAAATCGATACATGAGAAATCGAGTGAATATCCAATGTTGTAAAAATTTGAATTTCAAACGTTCATAAAAATTAAATTTGACTTTCTTATAGACATTCTTTTTTTTGAAGGTAGATAATCTTATAAGGAATCTTGTATTACATTTTAAAATCTTAGATTAATAAACTATTTGTTACGTTAGTAAATAAATTAATAAATCAACAGCAATATCTATAAATAGTTAATGATAAGACGAGATAACTATATTAATATTCAATAGCACTGAATGTCTATCTGTCCGTCTATCTTAATAATATTAAATGAGCTTAAAAACAGTGCAGACATCACTTACAACATTTCTACGTAAAACAAGTAACCAAAATTATCAATTACAAATGTTATAAAATCACTTGCAACAATTGTGATTTCATTAATTTAGATCACGTGCACTTACAACAAACGTCACCGACCTTTAGTAGACTAAATAATATGTACTATACACTTACAATATTTGTACACAATATGCGAAGAGTTGTTAACAAGACAACCATGCAAATAACTCATTTTTCCAAAATTTTGCACTTACAACATGTGTGCACTATGCCATCATATTTATTATTCATTCCAATGTTGTAAAAATTTCAAACGGTCATAAAAATTTAATTTGACGTTCTTATAGACATTTTTTTTTTTTTGATAAATGTAGAAAATCTTATAAGGAATCTTGTATTACATTCATGGGGTTCATGAATAATGCCCATAGATTGTGAAACCATGTTCAAGCAACGATGCTCAACTCGTTCAATTTGAATTATGTCACATTTGGTCCTGGGAAAACCATACCACAGATCCATACTCTACAATTGATCTAACAATAGAAGTATATCATATTAACAAACATCTTACAGACATGACAGACCCTTCATGTTGCCTTATAAACCCTAACGATCACAATTCTTTGCCTACTATCCAGTCAATATGAGGTGCAAACGATAATGTTGGAGTAAAAATAAAACCTAAATCTTCAACTTGGTTTATTTGCTGTTATATAAATAAAAGCTTACTTTGTGCCCTATATAATTTTAC